AAATTTTAATTAAATATAATTTATAACAATATTTTAACAGAAGCTTTTTAACACATCTTGTGTAGAAAAAAATCAAAATATAAGCGTTTAATTTATACAATTTAAGTAGGTATGTAGGTATACTTTCCACGCAATACACAAATAACAATTAATTGAAAACATAATACTTTCCACGTAATACATAAATAACAACTAATTGAAAACATAAATGATAGTTTACATAATTATAATATAATACCTACTTGGTATTATTATTTAAACAATAATTCTTTTTGTAGTACTGAAGAGGTAAAAGCATATTTTTTCACAATTTCTTCTGGATTTAAAACTATATCCTTTTCACATGACAATAACATGAGACTTTCAAGTCTATTTTGACTCATAGTGGATCTAAGTCGAGTTTTAATTATTTTTACCTTCGAGAACGATCTCTCACTTGCAGCAGATGTTGTAGGAATAGTGCATAAATATTTATATACTAAAAAAAGGTTTGGGAATGCTGCAACTAAATTATAAGAACAAAGCATTTTAAGTATCTCGGTTGCAGATAGTTTTTTTCTAATTTCTTCTTCATCATCCATTTCATTTGGAGAGTCAGAATCAGGGCTATTTTCATTTTCACTTTCGATAATAAGTTCATTATTTGTGCGAATACTGGATAAATCCATACCATTATACAATTTTATAAAACTACTTGCAAATATAGAATATTCCATTTTCAAATTATCAAGACTTAGACTAGGAATCCAATTTTTTAGCGCAATGAAATGATCGTCGGAAATTTCTGTTCCCTCGCTAGTTGCCTTTAATCGATCAAAAGTTAATAATGACAAGTTAGACAATATACCTCGAGCACCTTCAAATCTACTTATAATAGAAGTATTTACTTGATCCAATACTACATAAAAAACTTCAATTTTAAATTGGTCATAAGGATTTGTCATTACTTCATCAGAAACAACTTCTCCAGGCAACAGCTTCCTACGGCGGCTACGTATATTTGGCAAATCACATTCAACTAATCCAATTTCATTAACAAATGATTTTGTTTTTGTAATTAAATCATTAAAACTCTGTTCATTTCTTAAATCAGATAATTTTTTAGCACAAACATCTACCATAGTGATTGCTTGAATGAAATCAATAGATGAAGATTGCAAATAAATTGATAATGGTGTAGTATGAGAAAAGATATTTTCCATTAAAAATAAATTCAAAATAAACTTGAATGAAGTCATTATTCTGTAAAGATTTGAAGCAGTTGAATTAACTCTTCCAAGGTTTTTAGAAATGCCAAGTACTTTTTATTTATTACCGATAATGCACGGCCATGCGAAGTCCAACGAGTGGTAGAGAAGTTCTTTATTCTACATGGTCTTTCAGAAGGATAGCATTTAGTTTGTTGCTCTAAGAATAAGGCTGTTCGTTTTCTTGCTCTCATATATGTAATCAAACTTTGAACTTCTCCAAAGAAATTTCTAACACTTGAACATTTATCACATGTATCAACAACAACCAAGTTTAGAACATGTGCAAAACACCAAACGTAAATAGCATTTGGATTTTTTTCTTGGACATATGATCGAACACCAGAATATTGTCCCTGCATTGATGCAGCTCCATCATAAGATTGAGCACATAGTTTTGTTTCCCAATCTATATTATATTTAATGCAAATATCACAAAAAA